TGCCGCCGCCGCCGAAGGCGTCGAGGCCCTCTTCCCCGGAGATCTGGAAGACGTCGGGGACACCGAGGGCGAAGACATCATGATCTCTACCAGGGGGCCGGAGGAGGTCCGCTCGCTCCACTTGGCTCCGCCCGCGGGGGCGTGGTGGGTACGCCGACTGCTGCCTCCGCCGTCCAAACGCCGGCCTTCCTTATCCCTCCCCCTCGTTGAGGGCGCCGTGTCCTCGGACGGGGGCTGCCGGTACACGTCCACGGTAACGACGCGGCCCGCGGAAGCTCCTTCTCCTTCGCCGCTGCCGCCGCCGCCGCCGCCGCCGTTGCTCCGCCCTTTCCCGCCGCGCGCGCGGGCCGCCAGGCGCCTCGACCCGCTTTCGTCCTCCTTCTCCCAGCCCCACCGGGCGTTGGGGTCGTAGGGCGGCGGCGAGGCGCCGGTGCCCAGGTCTCCCGCTACAGCGGCCGCCGACCCCGTCACTTCTGCCCCAGAGACCCTGTCGCTGTGCCGCTTCGACCGGTGCTGTCGCTGCTGCTCGTGCTCCACCTGCCGCGGAGACGACGATGAAGACGGCAGGCCCGCCAGCGTCCGGTCCTGGTACGGCGGGGGCGGTCGCTGCTGCTGCGCCCGGTCGCCGGAGCCGCCCCTCTCCCTCCCCGCGGCGGCGGCTGCGGCTGCGGCTGCGGCGCCGTCGTGCTCCGCCGTGCCGGCGCCGTGGCTAACCGACCGCCTCAGGCTCATGTCACCACTGCCACCGCTTCCCTCACCGCCGCCTCCCCGAGACCCCCTCGAATGCTGTCGCCGATCACTAGCCATGCTGCCGCCGCCGCCGCCGCCGCCGCCACCACCACCACGGGGTGAAGAAGCCGCCGCTGAATCGAAAGCGGCGTCGCTCGCGCTGCCGCGGCGCTGGATAACCCTCGAAGAACCCCCGGTCCTTCCCGCGCGCCCCACCTGAAGCGCCGACCGCGCGGCCGCTGCCGCCGCCGAGGCGCCCTTCTCCTGGTCCTCCCTCTCCGCATTCGGCTGGAACGAATACCGGCCAAGAGATCCGTTGCCGCCGCCGCCGCCGCCGCCGGGCACAACCTCTGCAATGGATGGGATACTGGTCCGTCTGCGTGCAGTCGGTGGCGGCGCCAAATGGGCGGCAAAAGGGAGTCGAGTCGAACGGAGCCGAAAGCAATGAAAGCAATGGACGGCGGTGGTTAGGAAAAAGGTCAGAGGGCCGCAGTGAACGCGATCATGCCAAAGGGAGAGGGTTTTGGGTGGGGTAGGGTACGGTGGGATCTAGTGTCGCTGTGGGATCTCTCGGAGCTTACAAATTACTGCATGCTTCCAACGTTGGGTCCAAGAGTCGACCGTGGGTGGGCCGCGTCGGGGGGGGGGGCGGCATTTGCGCCGCCTATTCCATCAAACCAGCTACCTCATCATCAGAGACCGAGGTGCCTTATGACGACTCAGTCTCTTGTGGTGGCAACCGCTTGAGACCCGCATGCCACCACGATCGTCGCCTCGTGAGAAAATGATGTCAAACGTCAAACCGGCCCCAACACAGGTTGGGAATGGGACGGTGTTCGCCCGCGACGATGTTGGTTCGAGCTATCCAGACCGTTCTTCTGTTGTAACACATCGCGACCTCCCATGACGCACATTTCCGCATTTTCGGCCGCACCAGTGAGTGCTGCTTCGCAATAACGGCAACCTCAAAAAAACACACAAACACACACACACACAGGAGGCCAAGAGAGCATCACTAACCTTTCTTCACTCAGTGAGAGAGAGGCACGAGAGCGGACTAAAATGGAAACGAGTTTTCTTTGTGGGGTTGGGGGTCTACAACCCTAGCACAGACGTACTCAAACGTACGCACTAGCAAGCGCCGAGCGGGGGCGGGGCAGCGGCGGCGGTTGTTACCTTCGTGGCTGAGCAGACTTCGGGACGGGCCGCTGGTGGCTGGGGGCCTGGCTAAGGCCGTGGGGAATCTTCGCCGACAGGCCGTTCGCCCGCTCGAACCGCGCCACCGCGGCCTTCGGGACAAACAGCGCCAAGGTGACCTGGATGATGATGATGGTGGTGGTGCGATAAAATGTTGTTCAAAGGCGAGAGGCACAGCAGCAGGGAAGGAAAGGAGAGGACAAAGGTGAGCGAAGGTGAAGCGGAAGGGGGAGCAAAAAAAACGTAACCTCGTGATGGCGGCGAGAAAATGGTCGTCCAGAGGCGTGTAGCACAGCTGTAGAGAAGGAGGACGACCGGCAGTAGGTGAGGCAAGCGAAGAAGGGATGTAATACCAAGAACGCTACTGTAGCGCCAAGCAGCGGTAGCGGCAGCACGAGTTCCGTGGGTGTGCGTGTGAAACGCTCCGCCCGCTGCAGAAAGGTACAACCCGAAAGGCGTTGAAAAAAAAAGGGGGCGGTGCAATAACGCAGCGCGACGAACGGCACGCCGGAAAGCCAACGGCGGAGTGGTTGGACAAGACCATGGTGTTCACGCGACTCGCAAGGCCACACCAACAGGGAAAAACCCATCAACGGAAGACGTGCATACTGCCGCGGTAGGAAAACACACGCTACAATGTGTGGTGCCATCCAATAACACACGGATAGTTATTGTTTTCCGGGAAAAACACTTCCACAACGTACAGCAAAAGTCTCTCACGCCCGATTCGCTGTTCCGCTGCGGCTCTCCCCCTCTCGGGCAAACGACAACGACAAGGCCGCCGGCCACACCGACATGGGGAAGAGCAAAGATTGACGACCCCCCCCCCCCGGTGTTTGCCATCGGGGTTGGGTTTTCGTCGCTTGGCAACGACGTTGTAAAACAAGCCGCCCCCCCCGGTGTTTGCCATCGGGATTCGGTTTTCGTCGCTTGGCAACGACGTTGTAAAACAAGCCGATTCACTTCGTGAACTCGGCAACCAGCTTGCAGTTTTTTTTTACCTCTGTTTTGTTTTTTTTGGCGGTAACATATTGGTGGTCGAGTAGATCATGTTGTGCGGGGCCGAGAATCCTCATTCCGCGCAACGGGGGATGATCGCACCACGTTGTGTTAAAATGGAAAAGCACCCTCGAGGCAGTTACACAGTGCTTATCATTGTCTCTGGAAGTGAAAGCACCAGAAAATAAATTATGTCACACGCAGCTGTCATCCGTACGCAAGGAAGTAAGCACGAGATGCCGAACACCCTTAGCAGGATGCAGCGCACCCTTCATGCGACTCGCCGAATACCTCACGGCGCTTCGCGCTTGGTGATGTGAGAGCCTGGTCCGGTGAGAACCCGGCGTGCTCCGTCCCGGCTTTGTAGGGATGCGAGGTCAATGGTCTAACGACTACGGCATGCACGACTATGAGTACACCCCCCCTCCGCCGTGGTGTTGAGAGCCAAAAGAGCAGCCTTTGTTTGTTGCGACCAAGATAACAAGACACACCCACAAGCGCGCGTGGATGCATGCATTACACTCACAGCCGCGCCGCTGCCGGAAGTGTCGTGTTTCGCAGTTGCCGCCGCGCCCCCCCCCCCAGCAGGGGCCGCACTGGTAGCAGCACCGGCAGCAGCAGAGGCAGCAGCAGCGGCAGCAGCAGCAGCAGCAGCAGCAGCAGCAGCCGCAGCCGCAGCCGCAGAGTTGGCCCTCCCGTCCCTCTTGGTCGGCGACTTCGAGAACGGTGATCTCCTCGAACGCGTGGAAGTCTTCTTGGCTCCTCCGCCCGCCCCGCCGGCTGCGGCGGCTCCCTTGCCCCCTCCGCCGCTGCTCTTGCCGTTGCTGCCGATCGCCGCCAGCGTCGGCGGCGGCATCGAACCCCCGCTGTCGTCGCCCACGACGCCGCCG